GTGCCCAGGATGATGTGACCCTGTTGTGGGTATTTATAGAGATCAGTGAGGGTGCCTGAAGTGGGGGGTGGGTGTTGGGTTAACGAGTGGCTGCTTGTTTTGGTATCGATATATGTGTGTAACTTCCTGGGGGTTAGGCAGGGTTTTTTCTATTGAGTTGTTGACGAGTGGCTGCTGAGGACTAACTGCTAAGACCCACACCAGCCATCGTATTCCGGCCATGAAAGCCTTCGACAATACATATCATACAAAACTTCATTAAGTGGTTTACTGAAATCAAGATATTCCATCTCCATAGCATTCCCATTATCTAGCACTCCAGAGACTCTATCAAAAAAAGAGAAAGAAATGATCTAGGGGCATAAGTTGCCCTTGACAGACTCATGCGGTCTAAATGCTGCCAGGTAGGCCTTTTAATAAAAACATTACTCTCCTTCTTCTTGAAAATGGAAAAATTTATATTTTTACTTTCAATGATTACATATATTTCTGAAGACTGAGAATATGTATCTAGGGCTGGCTTTACTATTAGACAGAATGAGACACCTAGTCCTAGCAACTGTCATGGTGGGCTGGGGTACAAGCTCTGCATTTCTCTAGGCTTCCCTGCCAGTAGAGTGCCATATGCAGAATGGGCAGAGTGCCCTTAACATGTGCCCTAGTCAGCAAAGCACCTTGACATTACCTTTTATGCCTCCACACATATCCCTGCTGGGTCAGGATCCCATCTCTTCAAAACTGCTAGTCCTTAGTTAAAGGAAAGCAGAAGATAGTAGAGCTTGCCTCATGAGAAACAATTTAATGATTTTCACATAGCAATGATTTCAGACAAAAAATTGCTCACTTAAGTCTGAGATTACACAGAGATATACAATAGCCCAATTAAGAAGACACGTTCACATTCAGTAAATGTATGTATACATGAGAAAAGAAAGAGATTGTACCTATTGGCCTTGCCTTTATCTTGCAAACATTTTGAATGCAAGAAAGGTCTGTGCGAAGATTCAGATGAATATAAAGCATGCAGAAAAAAGGGATTCTGAGTTCTAACTTCTCTTCATGCTTTTTATTACAATATGTGATAGGCCCTGCGGATTCAGGTAAACTGTGTCTCTTGTCCACAAAGTTCAATGAATTCTCCTTTTATGCTTATGAGATAGATAACATATTCTTTCTTATTTTACCCACTGTATGATGATCCAAAAGAAGGAGAATT